GAATAATGGTTAAAACTTTGATATTTATTAAGAGTTTAGTGCATTCAGATTAATACAATTTAAGTTGTGTGCTATTTAAAATTAAAGCTTTAATTTTTTTAAAAATTTAAATTAATATACATTTTTTACTTAAAATATTTAATCTATTTTATTATAACCGACAAGGGCCAGCCAAAACACCTCAGATGCTGTGAGCGTAATTATTCCCATGTCATGCTATTGTCAAAAGCTAACGTGTTTTTTGTTAGGACAGCTAGAGTCCTCAGGCCTATGTCCTGATATATTCAAAGAAATCAAATGACTTTTTTTCTCAGATACGGACCCCAAATTTAAATCTTGTTCTTGACTTAGTAATGCTGTACATACATTTTTAGTAGTGTACGACTGAGAGTGCTAAAGCACCAAATATGAAAACGAAATTTCAGCATTACCAGGCATGCATCAGAAGTAACATGCTGGCCCCAGCTTCATAAGAAACATTAACATCACAAAGATATCTGAAATTAAAGACTTCATATATCCACCAAATTGGTAGAGGGAAAGAAGAGGTAAAGAGGCAAGCTTCTGTTTAGAATTCAGGCCTCTTTGATCACAATGTGTATCAGAAAGCATGACAATGCAAAAGAGAAAACTACCCAAGGAAGTAGTCAGCCCAGTTATTACATTACGTGTCTCTGATTTCCTTGTGCTGTTGATTCCACTGTAAAAGACAGACAGATTTCATGAGAACTTGGATATGTGCAACTTGTTGTAAGCTGTCTGATTAGAAAACAGAAACGTTTGTCCCTAACAAGAATGTCAATCAGACCTTAAATTTGTATGGCTGATTCTCAGCCTTTGCTTTCTTCCAATGGTATTGTTCAAACAGAAACGCTTTGTCATGCCAGCTTCAATAATGCTTCAGATCGAGATCATAGAAAAAGGAGAATTCTGTTTGTGTGATTTTAAGGAAGAGAGATAAGCATAACCCATTTCCTGTCTCTGCAAGCCAGAATAAATTCAGACAGAATCTAGCACATATAAGCATAATGTATGCTCATTGTGTGACCTTTGAAAAGGGTGACCAAATAACTCATTGTGTGATACATACATATAAACCCAACAATTGAGAAAGCTTATAAATTTCCATAGCCATTGAAGATGCTCCCAAAAGTCACCTTATAGCAATTATCTTGCTAAGACCACAGAACATCTCCCATTGACTCGAAATAAGATTTGCATTGCACTGGTTTTCACTTGACCAATTATAGCATAATCCCAAATACACTGGTAACAAAGTCCAAAGATCAAAGGAGAAAGCCAAATTGGACAACCCCAGAATCAAACTTCTTAAAAGAACCATTAGTAAACTGGATTCTAAAATCTCCATTTCTTCAGAACGACGGTCACATGTTGGGATGGGAAAACAAAAGAAAGAATTAGTTGCTCAAAACAAAAAATTTGAGGAAATTAGTACCACAACAAGCTCTTCATGTTCTTTTATACCAACAAATGTACTAATAATTAATTGATAAAATTTTATATTTATCCCTATAAAAGGAACAATTAATTTTAAGAACACCCCCAAATTAGAAAGTAAAACAACTAAAATGAAGGAGTACAAATTTAGGGGCTATTTGGTTGGGAAAATTTTCTCTCATAAGCTTTTCAAAGTTTTTTTTTTTTACATAATTATTTATATATTTTCACATATTAATATTACAACAAAATAAAGATAAAAATGACATTTTTAGTCATTATTTTCACAACACAATTTTTAACACGTAAATTGGTTTTTTTTTTTACACATTTTAAAGAAAAAATTTTTTTTCCTAATTTTTCTTGTGTAGAACCTATTTATCAATTTTTCTACCTACTTTATCTACATAAATTTACTTGTTATCAAATACAAATAATAATAATAAATAATCGCACCGAGCCTTTGGACCAAGTGGCAATAGTCACCCATGGTGCATTCCCCCCTCTCCCAGGACTGTGGTTCGAACCCAGTCACTTGTAAAATTGGTTCAAAAAAAAAATAATAAATAACCTAATAATATTCTAACAAAACTTCACTATAAAATTTATTAATCCATATTTGTCAACATCTCTATACATACTTTCCTATCTACTTTCCATAAAAAAATTTCCAAATAAGTTATCCTCTAACCAAACACAGTCCTTAATTGCAACAAAATTTAATCTTTTATATTAACAAGAAGAGAAGATTAATTACTTTGAATTGAGTACTGATCTGCCAGAAGTAGGGATTGATCCATGTCATGACGGACAACACCGCCGTCCCAATCCACATGTTCGCGGACGGTCGAGTAATGCGGCACTCTCGGGTCTCCCTTCTACGCACTTCCGACGAACTTATCCATCTCCGACGACCTTCCCCTCTCCCCTCCGGCCAATCCTCCTCGCCCCATCCAGAGAATGACACGTGTCGATCCTCGGTAAGGCCCACTGGATTTTCTGAGGTCCAATGGGCTTGGCCGGGGATGGGCCGAAACATAGCGAGTAGGATTATTATATATATACTCGTGCGCGTGGTGGAGAAATCGCTTAGTAGTTAAATCAATTTTTCAGGTCTATAAATAATCCCGCTTCTTCTTCACGGCATTTCTCCTCTCCTTCTCTGTAAATCTTCTTCCTTGATCCTGTTTCTCCTGAGGGTTTTATCAGGGTTTTTCAATTTCTCAATCTTCCCTCCATATTTCCCTGATCCCCATCTCGGTTCTGAATCAGGAAACCTTCAAAACCCTAGAATTTTCATTCTTCTAGGGTTTAATTGAGGCTCCGAGATTTGGTTCTCTTTCTTCAGTCCCTGCTTCATTTAACTCGGGTTCTTGAATTTCTGGTAAGGATTCAAGATCTGTTCTTTTTTCCTCCATTCTTGTTTGTTGTTCTGTAATTTTGGTTCCTAATATATAATTCAACTCTAGGGTTTTCGTTCTCTTGTTTTGTCGGTAATCATTTTGATGGTAACTATTAGTTCTCAATGATTTATTAGGATTCTGTTGGAGTTTTTGGGAGTGGAGATTCATGGGGTGAATGATGAGGGAACAAGAGAAGCGAATTTTGATATGAGGTTTTGAATATGAGCCATGGAGGTGTGGAGAGTACAAGAGGGAGTGAAGGGGAGAGGAACTTGCCACCAGCAAGACCCAAAGCTGACGACTTTGGCCGAGAAGTGTCCAAGATTGCAGTGGCACAGATATGTGAGAGTGTGGGGTATCAGGGCTTCAAAGAGTCTGCTTTGGACGCCCTTTCTGATATTGCGATTAAATACCTTCGTGACTTGGGGAAGATTGCAAGTTCTCATGCTAATTTAGCTGGTAGGACAGAATGTAACCTTTTTGATATAATTCGTAGTCTTGAAGATTTGGGAGTTTCACAAGGATTTTCAGGCACATCAGAGATTGGCAATTGTTCTGTTGGATCGGGCACAGTGAAGGAGATAATTGAGTTCATTGATTCCGAAGAGGAAATTCCATTTGCTCAACCAGTGTCATATTTTCCAGTTATTAGGGATAGGAAGATGATTCCTAGTTTTGAACACATGGGTGAAATCCCACCGGGGAAACATATCCCAACATGGTTGCCAGCTCTTCCAGATCCTCACACTTATGTTCAGACACCTATGTGGAATGAGAGGGCATCTGATCCCCGTTCTGATAAGATCGAGCAAGCAAAGCAGCGGAGAAAGGCAGAGAGGGCTTTGTTGAGTTTGCAGCAGAGACTGGTGTGTAATGGTTTGACAAGAAGTTCAGTTTTGGAGGATCCAGGTGATGGAAAGGATGATCAGCAAGAAGCTGGAACAAACCCTTTTCTTGCCACACCTTTGCAGCCTGGGAAGAAGGATGTTTCTCAGATCGTTTTGCCAGCAAAGCTTTCTGAAGAGGCGATGAATGGTAATGAAGTTTCTGTTCTTAAGGCATTTGCTCCTGCAATTGAAGCGGTCAGAGGTTCATTTTCTGATGATGGTGACGGTGAGAAGAAGCTACTTCCTGAGAAAAGGCCTGCTATTAACTTTAAGTTCAGAACTGGCAAGAAACTTCTTGGTGAATCATTGGATTTGAACATACAGAAGAAAGATGGTAGAAGAACAGCAATATTTTTACGGGATGATGAGAGGGATGACAAAAAAAGGAGAGCCGAGTTTATTCTTAGGCAATCAATTGAAAATCCACTGGACCTCAACCAGTCATAATGTATTTTTAGGTAGTATTCATCACAAATCTCATGATTTTTAGTCAGTAGGAGCAGTGGGCCATTGGAGGTTCTTTGTTAGGGTTTTCTTGCATGGATATTGTGAGATTCTAATCAGGTATGTCAGCAGTTGCTTTGATGTCGCTGTAACTTTGGTCTGAATTAATTCTTTGAATGAGGCTTTTGCCTTTGTTACCATCTGATGTTGTACTGATGCCATGATTTCTAATTTGGGGGAACCACAAAAAAAATTTGTCTTCTACTTCCAGAGTTAATTATAGAGAGCTTACCCGTTGTGGTTTACAGTAAACGAATTTTATAAACGACTGTGAATTAAAAAAAGTAGAGAAAAAGGCTTATCCATGGAGTTTAATTCTTTCAAGCTTTGAACTCTACTGCCATTTGTTTCTTTCAAGTTTCATTCAATTGGTAAAAACATTGAGTTCGCATTCATGGAGATGATATTTCCATCTATGTACATACGATGTTTATGTTATCTGCCAACTGCCAAGGCCCAAATTTTATGTGAAAGAGGCATTCGGTTTGCTCCCGAGCAATGGTAACAGGTACTCATTAATGTAAGAAGGAAATGAAAAAATGTTTACTGGACTGAGACCGGCTAGAAAACCTCGACAATAACAAATAAGTTACACAATGTTGCAGTACATGGACAAGAAAATATAAAATTGAGGGTTTAGCTGTTTGTCTAGCAGGCAAAATAGCAGAGCTCTTGACACTGGCGAGTGGCAATTCAAAGAAATGATAGATAGTATCAGCTAGAAACATCAGTAACTTTGCTAAATTAAACTGTCAAAAGAGGGAACAAATAATCTCTAACCACTTGAAAAAGAGAAACCAATTATCACATATGCTCATTGCCCCCGTCCATTTCAGCTCTCCTGAAGTTTCGAAGAACTCCAACAATGCATGCCCTCCTCTACTAGAGCTATAAAGATTCTTTAATCTCAATGCTTCAGCTTCAAACCAATTTCAGAAAGCGAGACTTTGGCACGATGATTAAAGATCATGAAGTCCAAGTTGTCCGGTAAGGACACAATCCTGCATTTCAGAACGTAAAAATCCTGATGTGAGTGGTTCGTATGGTTTTCCAATAAATAGCAGACCTCTTATAACAGAAGTTGCCTGAAATCACGTAAGTAAAAGAATGACCAATAGTAAAGGCAAAGTTGGTTGTTAACATTGTCAGAATTTCGTGCCACAATACTGCCAATGCAAGACTTTGGCATGCCTGAGCAGGTGGCGATAAAAAAAAAAAAAGCATGAGCAGCAAACTTTCAACCACGCGGTAAGGAAAACATGGTATGAACTGTAAAACATTCACAGCGTGCAAAATTCAAGTCTCAAGTGAAAACACATGCAAGCAAAAGAAATGAGAGCATCCTAATTTAAAAAATCATCAAGGTAAGAGTCTCATAAAAGCCACCCTGTCCTCCCTAACTAGTAGAAGGCAAACAAGCACAATAGTGCTTTCATGACTATAGAAGTTTTACTGAGTATAACTTATACTAATGGGCACCAAATTTGCCAGTTTCAAGTAATTCCATCTTTCAGTCAGTGGCTTAGAACCAGTTGCACAAGCATTCTAGTCAAGATACAAAGTGTTTGATTAACCATTGCTTAGTTTATCAATGACCGAGGCACACAAACTAGCTGAAACAAGAAAGCACATAGCCACATGTACATTTATGATCTACACATCTAGCTCTCTATATCTATGTGCCTATTCCAACTCTTGAGACTAAAACTTATCTAGTCTCATAAAGAAATTCAGTCAGAAACCAATGCCTCATGCTAACAAATCGATTGAAGGTTCCCACTAAATGAATAGAAGAATGAGCACCGATCATGATAGTAACAATTTCAGTGCCCGCTCCCTTGCAATTATTTCTTTCTCACAAAAAAATCTAGGAAGGTAAGTTTACAGGTAAAATACACTGCCTTTATACCAAATTAATAAACAAAATGTGATAGTTTTAAGAAAGATTACAAGACGGGTTGAAAGCCACAAGATGCTTACATTGCCCTTCTTGCCAGGTGAAACAAATATCATGAGATAATTCTTTTCTGAGATTACATGGGTATAACTGTATAAGTATCCTTGACTGACTTCAAAATTATGCAGGCCAAAAAAAATTGATAGTTACCTTACAGATTTCAACTTGCATAGTAATGCATGATTCAAAATCAACAAGCTATATCTTTTCAGTAACGTCATGATAAAACTCATCCTCAAAAAATTCAACTTCACACTGAAATCCATTCTGCATACCTATTCTCCTCCGAATCGGGATTTATTGGAAGAAACTTCCCCGGCACAGAGAGTGCAGCCCAGATGCAGAAAAGAAAAGCCAGAAGCAACTCCAATACCACCTGCGTTCAAAGCGATTTCCTTTCTCAGGTTGCATAAACAGCTAAAAAAGATCCATTCAGAATCAAATCAAAAACCGAAATTATTAAGGCGGAACACTGAAGTAGCGAACGCTCACGTTCATGGGAGGTCCTGAAAACTCCTCCTCCATGATCTTCAACAATCCCCTATCTGCAAACCCATTGAAAAGATCCAATTTTGAAAAAGAGCACCTCATTAACAAGCATAAATTTAGCAGAGAAGGGTTATCGGATTGGGTACCGTACATTGAATCGTGGAATAGGCGGCGTGGCCGAGAATCAGAACGCCAAGGACGCCGACCGCGAAACCTAAACCCATCGTTTCGTTGACGGTGACTCTCTCACGATCCAATCACAGCGGAAGTGAAGAAAGTCTCTGCAACGCAATGATCGAAATTTTTGGTGGGTTAAGTTTCTCCTGGGTTTGGCATACTTTTATTAACCTACTTTACAACAAAAAAAAATATTGGGGGAGAAATCGTTACTGAATCAAAAGAGTGAGGGCATATAATAAAATAATCAAAGTATTTGTCAGGTCACACAGTAATTAAAAATGCAGTCTGAAGATCGAAATCACTAAAATACCCTTAATTATAGTGGTCAATGTAGCCTTCATTGATGGTAATTTAGTAATTTCATTGTCGGACTGCACCAGTAAAACGTAAAATTGTCAAAATAATAATGGACCCTCCAGTTATCTTATTTCATTTAAGTTCTTCATCGTTCCTCTCACGGTCATCAAACTGCTACTCGAAATTTATGGATTTTGGAATTCTGAATTGCTGAATTTTAGCTTAAACAATTTCGAAATTTGTTACAATCCCACTTTCAATTGGTGCTTCTCTTCATGAGTTTAGAATTAAGCTTCCGTTTTAGTTGCCCAAGATTTCATTGTATTTCTGCTTTCACTTTAGCTTCGTTTGTAGATTTTATTTGACAGAAGAGGCACAAAGGATGAGTCAACTTCTGAATCTAAACCAGGGAGTTCTAATATTAAACAAATGTAGTTTCCATGGTCGTCGTAATGAAAAAGTGAAGTTACAGCAATATGGGTCATTCTCATTTGTCAGAAAGAATGTTGTTCCTGAAAGCTGCTATGGAGTTCATCCATCATTTCAAGGTTTCTGATTTTGGTAAAAATGATTTGAATTTTGTTTAATCTGTTCTGAAGCCCTTATGTTTGATTTTTGGACTTATTTTATTAGCAGGTAGTTGGAAGAGAGTAAACCTGGTTCAAAGCACCATTGGCAACAAGGTACGGTTTCTTTTCCTGTTTTGATATTAATGGAGTAACAATAACTATGAATGTTACGGAATGGGATATAAGTTTTTGCTCTCTATAAGCATCAACACTGAGCTGCTCCTTTACAATATTATTGGACCATTTATTAGAGATGTAGTTCTAGGAACTTAGTTTTTGGCTAAAATAATTTTATATGATTACATTATTTACATTATTTAAACTTTTGAAACAATTTTTCCTTGTAGGTTGACTGCAACATTAATGTTCTCTCCCAATTGAATTTTTTTCCTTAGGCTTATATATCTAATGAATTAGAATCAGAGGCTTTACCGCATGTACAAACTCTTAGAAGATTTCCCAAGGAGGAGCTTTTTGCTAAAGTTGTTATGGTGAGATTTGATTCTACCATTTTGCTTAGAAACCAACTGGATCAGAGCTCTGTGTCTGTTTCTAGCGCACTTTACACAATTAAGTATTTACAAGAAGCTGGGGCAAAAGTAATTCTCATCAGTGACTGGAGTAAGAAGATTAATTCAAAACTACTTTCCACAGAATCTGTTGCAGGTATTTCATGCCATTACAGCTTCTTTAAAGTGTTTTTTTTTTTTTTTTTTTTTCATGCCATTACAGCTTCTTTAAAGTGTTTTTTTTTTTTTTTTCATAAAAACTCTCTGTGTCTCTTTTAGAACATTGGGGACACTACAGTGCCATGGAGGATAAGAAAAGAGTGTTCCAAGCATACAAGCATGGGACTTGATTAATCTTTAAAAGAAACAGGACGTTATTAAATTATTAATGAAAGAGGAAGAGCCATAAAAATATAGAGGCCTTGAGACTTGATTAATCTCTATAGGAAGTTTTAAAATATCCATTATGTTGGACAGTTCTAGTAATGGTCTCTGGCCCTGTATTTCAGACATTTTATCATCAGTTCTCCAGCATAAAGTTGTTACAGTAAGATGCATTTCCAGTTCCATACCATTGAAAAGGGAAGACCTTGACAAGGGAGACATTCATCTTCTTGAGAATCTTTCTGAGAATAAAGAAGAAGTTGCCAACTGTTCAAACTTTGCTGAATTTTTATCATCAGGAGTTGATATATTTGTTAATGATTCTTTTTCCCAGTCCCATAAAATACTTGCCTCAACAGTTGGCATTTGTCGTTGTTGCTATGCCTGCATGGCTGGTTTTCAATTTGAAGAAAGCTTACATCAACTAAAGAAGACTGCACAAACTAACAAGAAACCGTATGTTGCAATTGTATGTCTTTCTTGTCATTTCTCTTTGTCTCAGGGTTTCCTTTCTTACCTATTCTCTTCTTCACTTGCAGTAACATCTTTGCATGTGATGCAGATAGGTGGGGGCAATCTCAAGAACAAGGCAGCTGCACTACAATTTTTAGCTTCTAGATGTGATGCGTTGATATTCATTGGACTTCTGTCATTTCAAATAATGCATGCTTTGGGACAGTCTGTTCCTTCATATTTTGTGGAACATGGGGCACATGAAGCAGCTTTGGACATCATTGAATTTGCACACAACAAAAATGTACCAATTTTGTATCCAGAAGACTTGTGGTGCATGAATCAACATAATCCCAAGAAAGTGGAAATATTTCCTTCCTGTGGAGTTTTGGATGGTGAGCTTGCACTTAATTAATGTACCATATTCCTTTATGGTGACCGGGGATTGGGGGATAGGGAATTTCTGTGCTCTTTGTTTAGTTTCATTTGTCCATTTCATATTTTTATTGTGAACGTGAATCATATTTACTTCAGAACAATTTATTGCTCACTTTATAGTTCATTGGCAGATGCTTCAATCATGATGAATGGAATTAAAAGTTTTGTCAGGAAATGGACAGACACATATTCATACAAGCATGCATATTGCTGTAGATGTCATAGCCATTGTCATATTTCTGTTCAATCAATACATAAGCAGATGCGATAATCTCCTGATTGTCAAAGTTTGATCTCAACTAGTTAGGCTTGGCAAGAATCTGCTTTCAGTGATTACTTGGCAACTGAGCTTTACAAATCTTTTGAATGTATGCTTTTGACTATTAGGAATTAGACACACTAGATGGTAATTTTCTCCTGCTTGGATATAATTGTTTAGTATTTTCTTTTATTCATTTGCTGTAACTTAAGCCTTTCAAACCATTGACACAGGAAATTTTCTGTTTTAGGTTGGGTACCCATTGATCTTGGACCCAGGTCATTGGATAATATAAGATCTGTGGTTATAAACTCCAAGGTAAAGTAGAAACAGTTTTGCTTACTATAATGGTAAAGCATTTAAAAAAAAAAAAAAGAAAAAGAAAAAAGAAAAGAAGTGGATGCAGTGACTCTCGCTATTTGTACTGCCTTGTGTACTCTCCTCTATACTGTTTAGGAAAGGTTGACTGGAGGAGCATGTTACATGTAAAAAAAAAATAGGTGTAACTTAGTTTTATCCAAGTATAGCATACTAAAACATGATCCAGAAGACAAATAAAGTCTAGTTTTTGTTTCTCATGTCTGGACTCTAGCATGATTAATAATCTATTTCACAGCCTTGGTGCTATATAAAATTTTGTGAATGGCTATCACTGACATCATTAACTAATGAAAATCTTTGTTTTATTTGAAAATGACACTTTAGAGCAGGATTATTCATGAAGTAAATAACTTCTTACTTAAAAATTATTTCTGTTTTTAACTAAAATTTACTTTTTGGAGATATCTGAAGTTTTATTTGCTCTGCTTTTTTGGTCCAAGGACTTACTATTATTGCTGTTGTTGTAATTCATTATTGTTATTGGTTTTGTAATGCTCAAAATCCTGATGTATTTGCTTTATGTATTACAGAAAATAATATGGATTGGTCCAATGAAATTCAGGTTCTTAAATCCATGTTCAAATGGAGCATCTATATTGGCTGAAATGCTTTGCAAACTAGGTCAAAGTGGATGCAATATAACTATTGTTGGGAACATGGCATGCAAGGCAATGAGAAATCAATCATTTGGTCTATCCTCTTTTGACATGCTTGAGAATGCTTCAGTTGTGTGGGAGTTTTTCAAAGGAAGAAAGCTTCCTGGGGTTGTGGCCTTGGATAGGGTATGCATTATTGATCTTCTGTGGGCTTGTGCATAAAATCTGGTTTCATACCAGGAGAAATAATAGAATTCAGCTCCTTGTGGAATAATTTTGGGAAACTTCTAATCCCTTAAAATTTGTGCTGTGTGCAGGCATATCCATTTGAGGTTGACTGGAATGCTGCCTACAGTGATCCAGCCTTACCTTTGGTAGTTGATATTGGAAGTGGTACTCATCAATTGATTTTCTATGATATGATCTTCTTAAGCAGCTCTTCCCATTGCATATGAATGCTTGAAAAACGTAAATCAAGTGATTATTTTATCAATAGGTGCTAGAAAATAACTGTTACAAAATCAATTTATTGACTTGGACTGCATGCGACTAGATGGTGCTTTTAGTTTGATGACTTTCTTTTTTTTCCTTATTTTTCTGAGTAAATCTTCTTTTGGTTTCAGGTAATGGATTGTTTATTATGGGAATGGCAAGAAAGAGGAAAGACTTAAATTTTCTTGGTTTGGAGATCAACGGAAAGGTTTTCTTACTACCCTTTCTTATTGTTTACCCTATTTTGACCTTGTTTATTTCTAATACTTGAACAATTTTTCAGCTTGTAAGATGTTGTAAGGCTTCTGTTCATCAATATGACATGAAGAATGGGTAAGGACTGCTGCTTAGTCGTGAAAATAAGGTGCATTCATGATAGTGAACTTTTTTATTCTTGGGCAAATTGTATCATAATTCTTGGACTAATTGCACTTTATGTCAGGTCAATTTTCATTCTTGGTAGGTGATCATGTTTATATTCATCCCTCTGACTCTTTGATGTATAAAAAAGGTTTGAGGGAGTTTAGTATTTTTTTCTGGTTCCCTTCAAAGCTGTTTTGAAATGGGTTTTCTTTTCAAATAGCAGAAGGATGCCACCTGTTGGGTTGTTTGTAGCAATTTTCAATCTTGGTAATGGATTTTGCATATCATACTATTTTTTGCCTTACCTCAAAATTACCAAATTCAGGACTTCTGTTACATGCTTCATCATAATCATGAAACCATTCATTCATTTTCTTCATTTGCAAACTACACAATATTTAATTTTATATTCTTTGTACATAATTTTAAATTTTCATTTTTCATTGCTTGCCTGCTGTTTCAGAGTTCATTTTCTTATTTGATTTTCTTCATCATACTCTGTTGCCTCTGCTCTTCATGTTAGGTACTTTATTGAAACAAATGCAACGTCAACCTTTCGATCCATTGTTTCCAATTACCCGGGAGAATTGGTTCTTGTTTCAGTACAGGTTGAGGGAAATATTCTATCTGTTCAAAATTTTGATATGTTTGCTTTTATTAATGATTAGAATTCTAATTGATTTTCCTATTAGATAGAGCAATGACGATTGATGAATAAGCTTTAACTTTAATCATGTTCATGAATGCATCATGGAAACATTATATGGTTAATATGCATCTTCAAACAGAATGATTTCCCTCAATGCTTTAGATACTATCATGCAACCGTTTTTCAGCTCCCTGTCCCTTCCTAGACATCACCAGTATCTCACAGCCAACGCTTTCATGGTTACCAGTCCATCTAACTCCTAGATATCTGCCTCTTGTCTCCATCAAAACAACCTATGAAGTTTTCTATTGGTTTTTCTCCACTTTAAACCAAAATTAACTATTTTATGGATTAAAATTCTTGTTAGTTTGATTCCTGCCATGAGATAGGTAATTTTTACATTTTAGTTTTATTCTTTTTCCATAGATAATATAAGCATTTTGATTGTTTTCATTATGTAGTGTCCAAATCCTGATTTTAACAAACCAGAAAATAGATGGAGAATGCTACAAAGGTCACTAATTGAAGCAGTAGTGGATCTCCTTGCATCTAATGGAAAGGTATCAAACATTCACTGCTATTATATGCTGCAATATTTGTTTTCTGCACACAAACTCCATGCTCTTCAGGCTCTATCTAGTACTTCTCTCAAATTCCTATGAAACTGTACTTTGTACCAAGGTTGTCTCTAAATTTAATTTTCATTGCCTGCATTAAGCCGCCACAAATCACTGCATCCCACCATGATATGATACAAAGAGCTGCATAATTTATTTCTAAGCAACATTTGCAAACATACTAGTGTAACTTCATAGTTTTTCTACAATGAAGCAATTATTAATGCAGCTAGGTTTTTCTAATGTTCTTGTATTGCCATAGGTCTTCCTGCAATCTGATGTAAAAGCAGTTGCAGTGAGAATGAAAGAAGAATTTTTGAAATATGGAAAGGGTAAACTTGATCTTGTGCATGATCAATGCAACAGAGAATTCAGTGGGGGCATGTGGTTGGAGGAAAACCCATTTGGAGTTCACTCAGACTGGGAGCAACATGTCTTAGATCGAGGGGCTCCTATGTATAGATTAATGCTTTCCAAACTAACAGAGAAATAGATAGCTGGTTCTTGAGATCTGACTAACTTATATACTCAAGGGGGTACCTGGGACATACTTGATCATTATTGAGAAACTCTACTTTCACGAAATACAGATCCAAGCTTTATATAAGGTAAGCATGTTTACCTCTGTTATTTGTGCAGTGCATTATTTCTTAGTAATGAACTTAAACTCTATGTTTCGGGGAGGCTTATGACCACC